ACTGGTATATTTACATGTGAGCACCAGTATAGTTAACTGGTATATTTCTGTGCAACATTGTGTTTCTCATGCAACCAGTCACTGTTTCCACATGAACTCTAAGGTGTGCTCGTGTGTGTTCAACATCCTGAGCATCAAGTTCACATCTCCATTTAGTGACTGATGGGATTTGAACCTCAGCACGTCATTCATTTATACTTTTGTTGGATGTGACTGGGACCCTGTGTGCACAGTTTCATTCCACCTCATGTACAACATGCCATGTGAATGCCAATAAAGAACCTTGAGCTCGACCCCCACACTCTTTAATATCAAAGCCTCTGTCATAACAACGTCCCCGGGTAATAATCTGGAGAGAAGGCCACAGCTTCTGTTATGAGCTTGTCTGATGGACGTCCATCCCTTGGACAGAAAAGAAGACACAGGTATTAGACAGAGTTTGATGTGACACCTTCAAAACATGGCAGAGATGCTGAACAGATGCATTAGTGTTAGTGGAACCATTGAAAGTGTGAGTTTTTAATGCAGGCAGAAAATGCCTAACAGTGTTAAACAATGACAAGAAGATGGCAAAGCACTGAAGTCCTGTGTAATATTTAATCTTTAAAAATTATGTGTCCAGCTGTTTTTTATTCAGCTCTGACCTGTTCTCCTGTAACAGGTGGTTTGTTTCTGCTCTTCTTTGTCCACACATTGTATTTGTAGCTTCAGCTGCTGCTTCATGTTCCTCCTCTCCATCATCTGCAGCCTCACTGAGCTCCTCTCCTGGAGTTTCATCTGAAGGTTTGTCTTGAACAGGACACATCACAACACACAGCAGTGTTACTACAGTAAAAGTGACGACACTAGAAACTTTAAACAGTTTATTTCACAATAACACAGACGTCCACTCTGTCTAGACTCGGACTAAGTTACATGTAAAATATAAACCCGACCTAAACCAGGTTGACCCACTTCTATGAACGTGAACTAAACATGATGCACGCGGACACATTTATGGCTCAACAGCACCAAACTGAACTTAGACCCTCACCAGAATGTCTGGAACAAAGCAGCAGGTCTCAGGGAGCTGGAGAAAGTTACACGAGGACGTGTCACGTGTCCTTTTTGTTGCGTCCAACACATGAGCTCCTCGCCTTGTTTCTGGTGGAGAATCCATTTAAAAAGTCCGTTTTCGATCTTTTTACGATTCCGGACATTACAAACAATAACGCAGCAATTTAGGGCCATCGCTAAACTCTTTTAACCTACTTACATTAAGAAACTAAAAGTCACAGAGGAAGCTTGTTTTCGACACTTAATATTGAGGACAGTCAATGTAGTACACCCGGACCATCCTGTCCCATCAGCCACCGCGTCGCGGACAAGTGACGTCACGCTCAAAAGTTCTATCGACGTTGTTTTTTTTTGCATATCCAGTTACTGTTTATTACTCTCATAATTTCGCGCGCACATCTGACGTCATCCATTTAAAAGAGGACGGAATCAAAGTCTGAAGCGCACATCAAACGATGACGTCAGAGACGACGTATCAAAGGACAGCGTGGCGTCAGTCAAACTCTATATATAGGGCTGCTGTGTTTACTGAAATCATTTTCTGAAGGTCGGTTCGAGTTGAACACACATCAGAGAAGTCTGTAACTGTTCAATTTTCACTCTCTGTAGGAAAAATGGAAGTACCAGGATCCTTTCTGCAAACTGTTTGCGACGCAGCGACCAAGAACCCACTGCGGTTCTTCACAGTGGCCACGACGCTGAGAGTTTTGTCGAAAGTAGGTGCAGTCAGTAAGTACACCACTCCCACGGAAGAAAGCTCTTTCTTCCTGGATTATCTGGTTTCTACAACTCTGGACGGATTTGTCGTGCCTGGGAAGTTCCACTCGGACACGAAACAGTCCAGAAAAGCGTCGAAAAAGGCGGTTCGGGATCTCCAAGATATCTGCTCCGCCGCAGAGCTGAGAGACGTGGTCCATAAACTGGATCTGGATGTCGGCGCTAAGATTGTTGAAGTTTTACGTAACATCATCAAAAAACTTCTGGAAACCTTTGAGAAATGGGGGAAATACCGTCTGAACATGTTGTCTGCGGCGATTCTCCTCCTTGGAGTGGCACTAATCGCAGGATTTGTGATCGTACTACTGATGTTGGGGTGAATGTTTTGATCCAAACTCCAGACCAGTCCATCTGTCTTACCCGGGTTTCAGTGCAGGATGACGGGGAGCCGTTTCCTGACTGACTGGTGGCAGATCTTACCTGGATTCAATGCAGGATGACGGGGAGCCGTTTCCTGACTGACCGGGTCATGGTGGAGTAGGTGGTTCAACCAACAGCATTCATGCGGGCAAATATTACCCGGGTTACAATGCAGGATAACGGGGATCCGTTTCCTGACTGCCTGAAGACAGGTCTTGGTTACAGTGCAGGATGACGGGGAGCCGTTTCCTTACTGTCCGAAGACAGGTCTTACCCG